TGCAAGTATATATATATATATATATATATATATATATATATATATATATATATATATATATATATATATAAACTATCTAACGGGTCCTTTGACCCTCCAACAGTCTATTTATCTATCCATTCTTATGCTTCCTTCACCACACCTTAATCAGTCGCATTCTCTCTTGACATGATTCTTCCTCGGACTCCCCTTTCTTCCCTCCTTCCATCCTCATTCACTCTTTCTCACTCCTACCTTCCTCCTTACCCCTTCCTCCCACCCTTTACCCTCTCCCCATACTCCTCCCTCTCTCCCTTTTTCCCTTTCTCCCCTACATACTTTCCTCCCTCCTCTCTCCCTCCTTCCTTTCCCCTCTCCCTCTCCCTCCCTTCCCTCCCTCCCTCCCTCCTGTTTCCCCTCCCCTCCCCTCCCTCCCTCCCTCCAGTTTCCCCTCCCCTCCCTCCCTCCCTCCTGGCCCCCCTCCCCCCGCCATACATCCTCATCCTCACCTGGCACGAGTCCTTGCCACCCTCTTCCAGCCCGGCGCACAGGTGAGTGTCATAGAGTGTCACGGAGCTATTGGTTTCCTTTTGGTACCAATCCTCACACCTGGCACGGGGCTGCACTTCCACTGTCACCTTCTGGAGAATGTCTGAGAATTTGCCGTCTGAGAGAGAGAGGGGGGGGGGGAGAGAGAGAGAGAGATGTGAATTTAATAGAATGGTGGGAATTTTCATCACATGTAACTTTTTGTTCTTGATGTATTTTTGTTTGTGATGATGCTTGTTTTATTGTTGTTGTTTGTACTATTATTGTTGCTGGTATGATGATGATCGTGATTATTACTATCATTATTTGTAGTAGTAGTAATTGTTGTTGCCGTAATAATAATAGTAGTATCATCATCATAATCATCATCATCATCATTATTATTATTATAATTATTATTATTATTATTATCATTATCATTATTATTATTATCATTCATCATCATCATTATCATTATTATCATTCATCAACATCATCATCATCACCATTCTTTTCATAATCTGCATCATCATTAGTACTAGTAACAGTAGTAGCTGTATTACCATTATCGTTATTATCACCATTATCATCATCAATCCAGGGGATATAGACTAGATAATAGTCTAAAACCCTATAAAAGAAGAAAGAAGATTATCATCATCATCATCATCATCATCAATTACACTTACTATTCTTTCTTTCATCAGTGTTTCCCCAGCCGGCCACCGTCACGGGCTTTCCATCCAGAGGGTCATTGGGTCCGTCCACTTGCTTGTCTGGGAGGCACACGGGTCGGACAAAGCGGGACCATACAGCATCTTCGCTTAGTTTCAGGAGGGCGATGTCGTTGATGTAGAGCTGAGGGAGAGAGAGAGAGGGATGGGGCGTGAGTGTGTGTGTGTAAGGGGGGAGGGGGGGAGATTGGGTGGAGAAGGGAGGGATGGAGGGATGGTGGGAGGGCGGAGGGAGGGAGGGAGGGAAGGAGGGAGGGAGGGAGGGAGGGAGGGAGGGAGGGAGGGAGGGAGGGAGGGAGGGAGGGAAAGGAGGGGGAAAGAGGGGAGGGGATGGAAGAGAGGGGAGAGGGGGGAAAAGGTGAGGAGGGGATTGAATAGGAGGGGAGGGGAGAAGAGGGATCGGAGGAAGGGAAAAGGAAGGGAGGAGAGGATGGGAGAAGACGGGAGGAGAGGGGAGGAAAACAGGATAATAAAAGGGAAATGGAAGGTAGAAACAAATTAGCTCATAAAACGTTTTAAAAGGACTACGAATCAGACTTGAAGCGTCACGGTTTTCTTATCTCTTCCATTCGTGTCATTTCCATTAATAACAAACAGGAAAAAAACAACAACAAAACAAGGAAAAAACAACAACACAAGCTTTACCCTTGAATAATTAGCATGATAGATGATGTCACTGACGCCGAGGACCTGTTCTGACTGCTGACTTTTGGAGCTGAGGTCATGCTCACCTGCTACCACCACTAAATATCTTGGTAAGTTTCTGCAATGAGAAAATAATATTTGGATAATGAAAAAAAAACAAAAAAACTACAGGGCAGACTAAAGATATCCAGAACAGAATGTTGCATAATAGTGAATAGCTAAATATTAACAAAAGATAAACTTGAAAATGTAGTAAAATACCCCCAACCCCCAAAAAGTAAAAGTAAACAAAACGTGATAAAAAGAAAAAAACAACAACAACAACAACAACAACAAAACAATAACAATAATAACATTACCCAATAACCCCCCAAAAAAAAAGAAAAAAAAGAAAAAAACTAAAACTAAAACTAAAACAAATACTCACTTATTAACGCAGTGCGCCGCGGTGAGCACATAACGCTTGTGAATGAGCGACCCTCCACAGAAGTGCGCGCTTCCTGGACCAGCCACGCGGATGGACACCAACCAAGGGAATTCTCCTGGATAGGCATCGTCGCCGTGTTTAATCCTCCCGACGCGTGTCTGAGGCCGTCCACAGCTGACGTCCGCCACTGTAACCACGCCCGCAGAAGGATTTTGTTAGAGGGGTCATTGTTGAGGGGGAGGGATAGGTGGCGTGTGTGTTTATGTCAGGTTTTGAAAGGAAAAAAAATCATTGGGATGTGTTTCGTGTATATATCTATATTTATCTATCTATATATATATGTTATATTTTTGTATGTGCACTTGCTTAATTGATACGTTTTATGTGTTTTGAAGTTTATCGAGGTTGCAAAATGATTGGGTACCTGAGAATCAATAGAATCATAAACGTGTATATTTTTTTTATAATCTGTAGTCACGATATATATAACAACTATATAAGGACAGACAAAATAAAGAACAAAATCATTACACAGGCCAAAAATTGTCATAGATTAAAGGGATAGCCACGGAAGAACAAACATTCTCTTTAATGGTCAGTTATCGAAAAAAAGTATTTGAAGAAGAAAAAATCTACAAGTTTATGGATTAATTTTTGTTAATATAAACATACCTTTGTTGTTTTTTTTTAAGAAAAGGGGAGGGGGGAAGGGGCATCAACTGGACATGCTATCGTCTTTAAAAGCGATGGAGACTGAATATTAATAAAAACAAAAAGAGACAACACGATCAAGAAAATCACACTTACCTGAAAATGGAGTTTACTTATCTGTTCACATAAACCCGTGGTCCATGTCTTCTGATTTATGTCTGTCTGGCTGAAAATGGCTGGAAATCCTTAGCTACAGAACGATTTTTTTTTTTAATTATCAGAGAGAAAAATAAAGGTTGGAAAATAGAAATAAAATAAATAAATACTAACAGAAAGGTATGGTAGACAGGTTAGACGTTTGATATGAGATACTGAGAGTTGATGCAAAGAAGTTGAGGGTTGAAGATTAGCGTACAAGAGATAAGAAAAAAAGTAAAATGATAAAATAGAAAAAATGCGAGTTTTTTGAGAGCACATGTTTTGTTGGAGCTAGTGAAAGAAGCTAAGAAAGGAAAAGAGAGAAATATATATATATAAATAAATTAGTAGGAAGTGATGAAAAGATCACGAAGTATAAATATGAGAAGAGAAAGATGTACGAATTACGCAATGACTGAAGAGTGGAAAGAGAGAAGTTTAAATCGTGTATATATCTAGAGTGAAAAAGTGCAAATCTATTTATCTATCATCATTTTCTCTCGACCAAGTGCAAATTTGAACTCGAGTATTCGATAAAAAAAAATATTTAAAAAGAAGTAAAACAAACAATGACATAAAGAAAACGGATTTAACAGACTTAAAATAGCATTAAGAAAAAGAAAAGAAAAAAGGAAAAGAAAAGAAAAAAGACCTTATTCAGACCAGACATCGTATAATAAGACATGGTGCTTTTCGAACCAAAGCTAACAGGTAAGGACTTTCTACACAAGAAGTGAAATAAATGTGGAAATGTGGATACAATAAAGACTTTAAAGGTGGTTTGGGTGTCACTTAATTAAAGGAAATGTGTAGATGGTCGTTGATGTTGAAAAAAGAGTGATTTACTAGTTTAGTTTTGAATTATTTCTTTTTTTTTCGTTTGGATGAAGTGATAGTGATAATTGGCTGGTTTGGATACAAAATCAAGATCGAATTTCTTTAGCATTATTATCATATTGTCATTGTTATCATGATTATCATAATTATCATGACCATCATTATCATTATTAGTATCATGTTTCTTTTATCATTATCGTTATCACTATTATTTTTACTATGGTTATTTCCATCGACTATATTATCATTGTTATTACTGACACTAGTAATTCTGCTGTTATTTTCATCTTTATTAACATTATCATTTTCATCATTACTATCATTTACTGTCATTGATATTAAATTACTGCTATTATCATCATCATGCTTATAACCATAATAACTGTTATCATTATGATTAAATTTTTTCCTCTGCGTCTCCATTTTGGGGGACAAAAATCGCATAAAATTTTAATTTTTGAATAGATTTTGGTGATGGATCTTCCCGTTTTCACTTCCAATACCATTTCTCTGTTTCATTTATTTATTTATTTATTTGTTTATTTTCGTCAGGTGCGTACTCTGTGAACTACAAATGGACAATAATGATTTCCGATTTCGTGATCTGCAATTTTTTTTTTCTTTTCAGGTATTGTAAATATCTGTAAAAAGTCCACATTTTGCACAGAAAAGACTAATATTTACAATTGATGTTTTTAAATAATATATTTTTGTTTATCTTTAGGGTTACACGCCTATGTTTGTTTGTTTGTCTTTTGAAGGCGTTACAATGATTGTTTGTTTTTATATTTTGGTTATTTTAAGGGTTACAAACTTACTAAGAAATCTTTTTGATTGTTTTAAGGTTTGAAACCTATTAACAATATTTTTTTTTCGGTTGTTTAAGAGTTACAAATCTTTTTTTTTTAATCTCTTGGATCTTATGGGTTATAAACATAATTTAAAACGTGATTTTGATTGTTTTAAGGGTTACAAGCATATGCTTTATTAACCTCTCATAT